TCAACCGGGTGTCGACTCGCAAAGCATGGAGTTGCGACGATTCGCATTTCAGCGCGTGGATTTCGGGGAGAGTGGTGTGAGCCAGACTCCAGAGCGGTCCGGCAGGGACTTAAACCGTTGTCCCATTTGATGTATCCCATTCGAATAGCCGGGCGGTGGGTGAGTCCGAGAGTTCCCTGAGGCTGGGAACAGCGCAAGAACGGCAACATGAAGAAAGGAGCGACCGATGAGGGTCGAGCCCTCGGATCATTCAAGTTCACTAGATACACTTGCGACAAGAAGCGCCGCGTCAAACAATCACTTTCTCGAGATACTCACTCCAAATGCCACACCAACAAGCACGACACCTCCATTCCGCCGCCTTTGGCTTCGTCGACCTTCAAGTCGGCTGGAGAAAAAGAAGAGGGGTGAGTATGTCGTGTGCGGACTTGTGCAAAGTGGTAGAAGGTGGGAGGGACGGAGATTTGGCGGGCAGGCAACGGGCAGGATAGAGGAGGGAATTTGGTTTGTGAGGGAAAGATAAGGGACGTTAAAAGTGCCGATGTGCGAGTTAGGAAGGACACAAGGTAACGGGAAGGAGGGGCAAGAGGACGCTCGTTGAACGAGCAGACAAGGATGAAACGCCAGCGAGCAACGCCAAGAGGGACACGGAACAAGAACAAGAACAAATCGAAAGACACTGACTTCTCAACGCCTCGTGCTCCACAAAGCCATGCTTCTGCCACAGCTTCACGCTCCCGAGATTCGAAAGGAAACACTGGGCGCGCAGCTCGGTGCAGCCCATCTGCTGGACGGCCCATTGGGGCAGGACAAGGCCGATGACGGCGGTACCGAGGCCTTTGTTATGCCATTCGGCGCGGAAGGCGGCTGTAAACAAATTTATTTAGTCGCGGCCTTGATAGAACGGATAAAAAACGCACCACCAATCTCAAAAACTTTCGTGCGCGTACGCCACTCCTCCCACGCATCGTTCGGGGGCGTGAGCCGCTTCGCGCGGTCGCCCGCGTACATGAGCGTCACCTGCCCCACATACTCCTCGCCCCCGCCGGGGAGGCGCTCCCGCAGAACGGTGAATGGGTAGTACGCCGCGGGGAGGAAGGAACCGGCGGCGTAGGCCTCGAAGAGCGCGGTGGTATCGCGGCGCTCGCGGACGAGCCAGCGCTGGGACCCAATGGGTGCGACGGGGAAGGGCGGCCCGACCAGCGTGCGTGCGACACGAATGTCGCTCTGCCGGGAGCATCATAAGTTCCTCGAAGGACAAACAAATAGTTAAAACGCACCAGCATAGCGATATCAGCAGGGATGTCGGAGACGCGCTCGGGGCTCAGGTAAAAGCGGTCGTGCGGTGCGGGGAGCGCCAGGTACGGTTCGCCCGCGGAACTGAACAGAATAGGGGTGCGTGCTGAAATTTCGGCGCGCAACTCGGCAGATTCGACGGTGAACAAGTCAGTCATGCCCTCCGTCGGGTCTTCGGGTACAGAGAGCGTTTGAGTGGGTGTAGGATTCGACATGGGTGGTTGAGATAAACAGATCTCAACCGCAGGTCTTGAAGTATACGAAGTTTCGGGGCCGCGTTATGATTTATCGTCGAGTCACCGACGAAGCGACGAAGAAAGCATCAGACTGGAATACGACCGGGTAGGCTAGCGCCGTGTTTTCTTGGCTACAGACAGAATCAGATGTCTTGCGACTCATATGTGCGACAAACCGCTCGTACCCCGTAACCCGTTCTGCCCGGCGCGTGATTGAGGCGGCTGGACTGTGTGCGATCCATGGCCATTGGTGTGATGCATCCATCCTCCGAGAGAAGGCAATGGCCATGGAACGACGTCTTGACCTCGTTCAGCACGGACATAGTGAGCGACGAAAGCAAAGCAACAAAACCAAAACAAAACCAATTTCGGAATCATGTGATCGGACATCAATCTTCCGGAGATTTCATAATTTCATTCGATTTAAAATTACACATGTGCATGGCGGCGGCTGTGGCGCAAACTGAGAGAAAGAGCCTAGGGGAACGAGAGGGGAAAAGCCAGGAAAACTTGGTGGAAATCATTGCGAGAAAAGATTGTCACCACCTCAAGGTGGAGGAAAAAGCTGCCCGCTAGCCGAGTCGAACGACTGACCTCACCATGAACTCGGAATGCCAGTCAAGTTAAGGTAAGTCGCGAAAAAGCTTCCCGCTAGCCGAGTCGAACGACTGACCTCATCATGAACCCGCGAATACGAGTGATGCGCTCTACCAACTGAGCTAAGAGGGAATTAGCGTTGTCTGTACGTGTGGCTAATTGACAATCATCCTCTGATAGGTCCTCCGAGGGGTCGTAACCAACTTTGCATCGAATCCATAGACCGGTACTTAACCAATTTGTCTACGGGAATACTATCGGTAGACATCGAATCCACGCAATAGCCAGATTGTTTCTTGACCCCGGAGCTGAAAAGCGGAAAGCGGTTTCGAGTGAGGATGAAGTACCCGGTAGTAAGAAGGCGAAGGTGGTTTGACAAGTGGTCACGTCCGTGATTGTCTGCCTAGATTGATTGACAATGAATGTTCACTCTTTTTGAATTTATCCACGTGGGGCTCATGATCAAGCAAGGTCGAGGCTTGGAGTTGAGGTTCAGACGGACGCTGACTCCTCTACGGGTTCACGTTGGTAGATCGCAGAACGAGCTCAAGCAAGTATTGTTTCTTCCGTCGTGTCTGCACAACACCTCCCCTCAGAAATTTGTTCCAGCTTCCCAAACTGGTTCTGTTCTCCAAAGTGTAGATCAACCGTGATGCGGCAAATCTTGAAGATGTCGAAGTTGAACTGAACTCGCTCGTGGGAGAAACCTTTGTCAGCGATCATCGGCATTCGGTTTTCTCACAGCCGACTGAGACTCGCTGGCATTTCACCCTCGGAAAACTCCCTGCGGATGCCCAACTGCCATGGGAGTGCTATGTTCTTGGCCAATTGAACATACTTTTCCGCTACCTGAACCCTCAGCACTGTGGATCCCTGAATCTGGATGCACGGCAACTTCGATTTTCTTTTGGTTCCTCTCTGAGCGGCGCCTGACTATCCCATCTGGCCAATTGAAAGCATCGGACGACCGCCCCGACCTGTCAGCCTATTCCAAACGTACGGGCCACGCTTGGGCTCTCGAGCGGACATTGAATTCTAAGGCTTCGATGCCAACGCGCTATTTGTATTCTAATCTTCGAAAGCGCTTCACCTTGTTGCTCCGCTGGATATCTTTTGAAGCCGAGCTGGGCATGGTTCTCAGACCTCTCGATCACACCTTGCAGTGTTCCTGGGGACGGAGCTTTCGGTATCGTCCACGTTTGCCCCGCACGCCCGCCGCGTATGCGCTCATTTGTGGGGCAATCCAGCTTCTTTTACGCATCGCGACGCTGTCGATCGGACCATCATTGCGATTCTCTCCGGTGCTACGACTTGAATTCACGCGATTGTCTGCCTAAATTGATTGACAATGAATGTTCACTCTTTTTGAATTTATCCACGTGGGGCTCAAGCAAGGTCGAGGCTGCGGAGCAGACCCCTAGTTGAATATTGAATTGAGTCAACTGAGCTAAGATTTGCTAACAGGAGGTGCATCGAGTCTCCATCCTGTGGGAAGTCAGAATAAACTTTCTAACTAAAGGTCTTCACAAGAAGTTCCATCCACCACTTCAACCTATCATCCTGTACATCTCACAAGTCTCCTCGTTTGCACTCTCTTGAACATCTTGTCTGCACGATTCAAACAGCACCAAGTCGGTGGTGAATGCGGCATCTCGGCTTTCCCATTGATTACGGATCACTCCGCCGGATCTTGCCTTGCCGCTCCGTCTTCGCAACTTCTTCGCCAACTTCTTGAGCGCACTGTAGCTTACCTGTTAACTTATATGTTCTTCTTGAAGCTTTCAGCTCTTACTTCGTGTTGTCCCACTCCAAGAAGGAAATCACTGTACAAATACATTTTTCTGCCGAGCTACAAACCTTCAAAATTAAACGCACTTGACTAAGTTTTCTGTGTCTTCTTTTGCCTAACCGCCTTGCTGGACTTGGTGGTCCTGGCAACCGGCCACTGCACGCCGCGACATAGAGCAAGCCAAATGTGGCGCGAAAAGTGGGGGGGCAGATCTAATAGAGTTGCGACGCGCCGGTATTCCCGGTGATCACAGATGTTCTTTCCGCAGGGCGTGCAATGGCGACCACCCTTTATGACGAACCCGCTCCGTTCTCCCCGTTGTCGCTCCTTGACAGAGTTGCTGAGGAAGAAGTAAGGTGGACCACTGTATGTGGGTGGTCCGGGGCACGCGACCAGGTACAGATTCCTCGCATCTGTTTGACTGTTGAGCGTCGCCAGGTGAGAGAAAATAAAAAGACATACCTGAATTAAACCATTTGAACAAGAGGGTCGACTGCTTCTCCGTCCACGCGCTCCTCGCGACAGGGTTCATTGGCAGGAACTTGGCGGGACATCTGCTTTGACTAGCCAGTACCTTATCGATGGCAAGTGTCAGCCAAACACCGCGATTGCCATGCTCTCCTTCCGGCACGTAAACGTGCGAGTCGGGGATCGCGGCTTCACGTAGCGCAGCAACGTCCTGGGGCCGCAGAACCTGGCTCAAATCATCCCAAGTGGAGTCATCCCGCAAGATTGAAGTGATCGACACCGCAACCAGAACAAAGATGCTGACCCCACTCATGCCCAGGAGGAGGAGGAGGTATATTATACTGACGTGGTCCCACAACTGGAACAAAGTTACGCATCATACACAGAACACACGCACTACCAGAGGGGGGCGGAAAGTCTAGGTACCCGAATGATATTCCCGGCCTGGCTCGGACCATGCTACGACAGCACCCCTCGTTGGGTGCATTAGACTCGCTCTTTGCCACCGGCGTTATATTCGTTCCTGAGTAGGACCGTGCTGTGTTATGGCCTTGGGTACCTAAGTTACGCGTCGGGATTCAGAATGGTACCTGGAGAATCTGCCAAAAACATCATTCCCGCTAGCCGATTTGAACGACTGACCTCGTCATTGACTTCGATTTCGGACACCCATACTAGTGACGCGCTCTACCAACTGAGCTAAGAGGGAGACATCCAGTTCGGTTTGCCTGGGAAATCAGGACACAGCGGGACCTCAACACTACATCCTCCACACCGCTGTTAAAATTTCCGAGAATGCACAACAGGTTGGCAGCGGCTGTGGCGGGTTCTGAGTTCTGCGAAAATTGAGTACACTTCTTTTCCTCGAGGAGTCGCCCGTGTTCAAGAGCACTGGTTGAATTCCGCATTTTCCGAAACTCACCTGGTTGAACATTGATTGGCCTAATGGACCTCGTGTGTCTGAATCGCAGTTTCCAACCATTTGTCCGAGTCGGATCTTGTAAGTACTTACCAGGGCTGAATCACATTGTCTGGTCGGATTGCTGTGAGACTTTGGCGACACGGAGTTCCAGCCCATCAAACTGCTATATAGGATTCCATGAAGGTTAGCAGCGAGTGTGACCTGAGAGACCATGGCCACTCAAGACTGACTACGGAGTCAACCAACAGCGAACTAATATTGATTGATCGAAATTTCCAGCTGAGGAAATTAAAACAGCAACTTCGCCGTGCTTTTCCGAGATTTCTCCTCGTAGGTATCATGCACCCAGAGGCATGTAAGTCACTTAGCACATATCTATCTACCAGTACACTGTCCTGGTTGAATCACCTGAAGGTGCCGAACTTCAAAATCAACACGGATAATTTGTAGCGACGAACTGGCAACCTGTGAGGTTCCAGTCCTTTGAGAGGTCAGAACCCCGCTAGAGTCGTCAAGAAACCAAGTAGTTCGCGCACAAAGGTGAGTGGGTGAGGTATTGGATTCGAGAAAACTAAAGATCTACCTACTCACTAGCTACATTAAATAGGATTCTATGTTACTGCGTACATACATCTGAAAAGGTAATTCTATTAATACAAGCCTGCGCCCGAGCCGCGTACTCAACGGCGCCGCAGGCGCGCAGTTCAACACGTCCTTAAAGACGTGGTTGAACACGTCGCGTTGATCCGTCGTCGGAGATCACCGAATGCCGCGATGCCCGAGGTCCATCCCTTACACAACCATTAGCATACGAGCTTTAGTGGAAGTATATCCGCACGAATGCAGTCCCTGGGCATCGTCTGGCAGAGCAATTCTACCCAGAACATCGCACCACGGCGTCTCCTGACGGCACCAGCAAGCAATCACCACGCGCCCAACACCGTGAATTAAGTACGCTGTCCAAAATCATGGTTGAAATTTTTCTCCTCTTCCTGAAGCTTGGAGGGTGGATGTTGGGTGGATGCGACGATCAGGGTAAGAATAAATTAGAATAAATAAGAGATAAGGATTAGAAGTATAGCAGGCGCGCGCACTGCCAGGAGCGCGCATCTCATCTCATTTGAAAGATCCCAACACGAATATACCAGTTATCTACCAGTTATCGAACTTCCACGTAACGCTCGTACGCCCCAACGCCGTGTCAGCGAGGGCCGCAAACGCCACAGGCGTGAGGTCGATATCGTCCACCGCGCACAAGGTACAGCGGTCAACAATCTGCACTTGAATGCTGTTGTTCCCGTGTGTGACGGTCGCGGTGAGCGGGACGTGGCACTGCACCGTCGGGCTGGTACTGCCGACGCAGTTGATGAGGCCGTCGCCGCCGATCACAGCATACCCGGGGATGTTCGAGGAGACGGCGGTGAAGAGGGCGCCGTTGTTGTTGATGGCTTCGCGGCCGGGGACGAAGGGCCCGCAGATGGGGTTGCTGGAGGGAAGGAAAGGGGGGTGACGTCTTATCAGTACATGCACCGGATGAGGAATGAAGCTCGTACCGGTTCTTGTTGTTCGGCGTGGCTCCTGGCCAGCTGCAAAAGTATTGTCAGGATACGGATCGTTTGGGACTTCAAACAAGTTCTTACTTGTCGTACATGAGCTCCGAGACGGCAGCGGTGAATGAATTGTCGTCGTAGTAATCACCGCAACCCCCGAGACCTTGATCGCTGAAAAGTGATCCGTGAGTTCATCTGCCACGGGCACTAGACGGAGAACAAAGTGGAGACGCCAATGCCGTGAAAAGCGCGAAAATTTTGGAGGCAGTACCAAGGGGTGTGCCCGCATGACCGTGACGGAAAAAGAGCGTGAAGCGCAGATACTTTCGCAAAAGAAAAGCAGACCAAAGGAACTCACTAGTAGGTCATGTCTCCTGTGTGGGACTCGGTGAAGAATGCATTGCCTGAGTTGTCGATTGCCTTGGAGAGCTCCTCGAGGTAAGGATCACTGGCACTTGCAACAGTCGAGGTCGGCGTAGCGGCCGCCTGAGTCGCAGTGGGCCAGTCGGCGGGCTTGGTTGCAGTGAAGTCGCGAGCGGCGACTTTGGCTTTGGAGTCTTTCGTCGTCGTAGAAGGGGTGGTGGCTACCTTGACGAACGGGGTGGCCTCAGCGAGGATAGCGAGGGCGAGAAGGAGAGCAGAGGTGGCAGGGAGTTGAAAAAGCATGGTAAAGACCGGAAGCGGAGCGCAACCCAACAAGAAATTGAACAGAAAAACGACGGTGGGGAATGTGTCCCGAGGGAATGGTGGTAGGAATCAGGGAACGCTCTCGCACTTATAACGACAAGAGGTTCAGGAACGGGCCGCCGCTACATCGCATAGTAGTCGCATGGTTTTTTGCCAGCAGCGCAAGTCGCAACTATCGCCAATCGAAGGCCATGTGGATCGCCCTGGCTGAAAAAACATGCGCTCGCAGCGCGTCTCGCAGGCTGTCTTTGCTGTCTCCTGGCGTCTCGCTCCTTCTCCCCGCGAGCATGCCATCGTCGAGCGCTCCGCTGGCTTCCCAGTAGCCAAGTCTCCAGCGTGGTCCCAATGCTGTGAGTCTGGCGATGCCGGCCACGGTCCATGTCCATACTGTCGCGGAGATACCATGGTCCATGAAAGCGCAAGAGAGAAATCATGAGAAAATCGCGAATCGCCGACAAGCGGATCATTGATGCCGACACTGTTGCTCTCCACCACCATCTCCGTCGAATCCAGAGCCACCGATGCCCATTGCCTGGTCTGTCGCTTTTGGCCTTCAGAGACCAGAGGCCATATGTTCTCGACTCTACCTGTGCCGTCCACAAACATACCTAACTACATGTGAACGATTGTTTTCACAAGAGTATATAAAGTCGGCTTGCGAGACTAATACCCAACAATCTTTCCTCATAAGTATTCTTCATGCCCTCTCTCGAGAGACCGATTCATAACCTGTCTTTAGGGAGATAAATGCTCAGCAGACCCACCTGGGCCGGCGCCTGGCGCCCCCCACCAGAACTCTGTGACCAGATGAACTGCCAGTGGTTCTTGGGTGAGACTGGTAGTATTGGCATTCCCGGATTGCGATACCGGTAAGTAAACATGGGTTTCCACTCATAGAGCACTACTCTAACCACATTTAGTCGAGGGCCGGCGTCCCACCACTATGGGTCACCAGACTTTCATGGACCAAGAACCCGAAGCTGGAGGCATCACCAGCCCTCAGGCCTCATGGACGATATTCCGCTGGAATGGGGCGCTCCGGGCGCTTTGGCTGCTTGCTATAGATCTCCAGGAATGGGGCGAAAGATGCAGGACTCCATTTGAGAAATATCGAGAATACCGACTTTCAAGCGCCGAAAACGACAATGGCGCCGATAACCATATTTGACTGGGATGCCAACTTCGCGTTCTAAAAGCTGAAAATTCTAGCTCAAAAACCCAGAGGAGCTAGCTAGACGTTCGTCGGCCGGGTCGTGAGGCAATGAGCGTCAAATGATTACTGGGGCAGCACCGCCCCTCAACTCAGACTGCGATAACGTGTGGTACGGAGGACGCGTAGAGCCTGTGGATACTGTTAGCTATTTCAGAGCGGCCGTACCTTCATGCAGAGTTTATCTTTTTGGGAGTCCCATCCTGTCAATCTCGCACCTGGTCGCTGTTGTGCAGCGAAGAGCTTCCGTAGCACAGACATGACCCGCGACATTTTTGAAGGAGGTGGAAAGCGTGAAAACGCGGGCAAGTCGGTCGGGGGGGTGGAAGCCCGAAGATTGATCTTCGGACAAAATTGGGCAACCAAGACACTACAATTGAAATTAAATCCACGGTTCTTGGTCATTTACATCATGTACATGAGGGACTTGATTCAGGTAACAAACGCAGCTAATAGAACCAAAGCAAACCGACTACTTGGAGTGAAGTCCAGTTGCTAGACTGGCTGGTTGCGCCTTGTTATAGGACGTGCAAGCGACTTGAAATTTGAAAACAGCCCAACATCCTCGGGATACACGACAGGCTTGACAGGCCGTCAGAAGCCTGATAGTTGGTCTGATGGATCTGCCACAGGCCCTCGGATAAGAGTTACTTGAAAGTTCAACTTGAAGTCAACTTGAAGTTGTTCAGAAGTTGAATTATTTCAAAGTGCGCACTCCTCGTCATTGCCAGTGCGGCAGACGTGAAAAACGTAGGCAGGCAAATAGTGCGACGCGAGCGCCCGGACCAATCGTTTCCAAAACTCACTCTTCTCAGATTACGTCTCAGTCCCTCTACGCCATTATTACTCAACTTGCGTTCGACTCCTTCCAGAATCTTCGCTAAATGGGGATCCGTCACATGTATTTGCAATAAACAAGAACACACACTCCCAAAGCAGTGCCGCTTCCCTCGCACCACCATGATGTGGCGCGCTCCCAAATCTCTCCTCTTTGCGCACCCACTTCGAACACTGGCCTCTCGTTCGAAAAGTTTTCATGTCTCCTTCCCTCGTCTCACGGAGCTGCCGTGGATGACACCGTCAATCGTCGAGCTCGGAGAACGGTTGCAGGTGCACTGAGCCTCCTTCTCAGGTTTTGCTACCACTCAAGCGCTTTCCGCCACAGACACCCACCTATGAAAACCCGCCCAACTCACCTGTGACTATGGTACTTTACTGCCCTTCCGTTCACTGCAGTGCATCGACCTTGACGCCCAGGGTCCCCTTGTTAATCCACCAGGCGGTTCCGTTCCGCTGGGCGACAGCTCAGCACCCAAAGAGCAGCGTATATACAACACGTT